AAATCCCCCTCACCTTTACAGAACGTGCTGATGCTGGCCTCGATGGGCGTGGCCAGGTGGGCGTGGCTTGCCCGGCAGGTGAAGTTGCTCCCTTTGTCCCATTGGCTGCGGCTGATGTTGACGCGGCCGCTGAGGGTCACCTGACCGTCGCCGCCCTCCTGGCAGCTGGAAAGCTCCGCCCCCAGCTGGGCGGGGTCACCGTTGACCAACCAGCTGAGGGTGGCGTCGGCGGCGCCGCGGCCGCGCACTTGGCACAGGAGGTGGACCTGGTCCTGCTCCGGGTGGGCCTGGTTGGGGTCGCTCAGGAGGGAGACGGTGAAGTCGGGGGGCTGGGGGGTGTTGTTGCAGGCTGCGGGGAGAGGTGGGGGCAGGTGAGGCCAAAAAAATCCCCAAAACGACGGAAAATGGGGGAAAAAAGGGCGAAATCCCAGCGGAAATCGAGGCAAGATGGCCGAAAGGCGGATTAAAGATGGCCGAAAATGGAGACAAAAAGGCTGATCCAAAATGGCGGAAATTGGAGCCAATAGAGTTGAAATCGGATCAAAGATGGCGGAAATTGGAGCCAAAATGGCTGAAATTGGATCAAAAATGGCAGAAATTGGAGCCAAGATGGCCAAAAATGGATCCAAAATGGCNTCAAAGATGGCGGAAATTGGAGCCAAAATGGCTGAAATTGGATCAAAAATGGCAGAAATTGGAGCCAAGATGGCCAAAAATGGATCCAAAATGGCCGATTCAAAATGGCGGAAATTGGAGCCAATAGAGTTGAAATCGGATCCAAAATGGCGGAAATTGGAGCCAAAATGCCTGAAATTGGAGCCAAGATGGCCAAAATTGGAGCCAAGATGGCGGAAATTGGAGCCAAGACGGCCAAAAATGGATCCAAAATGGCCGATTCAAAATGGCGGAAATTGGAGCCAATAGAGTTGAAATCGGATCCAAGATGGCAGAAATTGGAGCCAAAATGGCTGAAATTGGAGCCAAGATGGCCAAAATTGGAGCCAAGATGGCGGAAATTGGAGCCAAGACGGCCAAAAATGGATCTAAAATGGCTGATCCAAAATGGCGGAAATTTGAGCCAGTAGAGTTGAAATCGGATCAAAGATGGCGGAAATTGGAGCTAAAATGGCTGAAATTGGAGCCAAGACGGCCAAAAATGGATCCAAAATGGCTGATACAAAATGGCGGAAATTTGAGCCAGTAGAGTTGAAACCGCATCCAAGATGGCGGAAATTGGAGCCAAGATGGTGGAAATTGGAGCCAAGACGGCCAAAAATGGATCTAAAATGGCTGATACAAAATGGTGGAAATTGGAGCCAATAGAGTTGAAATCGGATCCAAAATGGCCGAAATTGGAGCCAAGATGGCAGAAATTGGAGGCAAGACGGCCAAAAATGGATCTAAAATGGCCGATCCAAAATGGCAGAAATTGGAGCCAATAGAGTTGAAATCGGATCCAAGATGGCCAAAATTGAAGATGGCTGAAATTGGATCCAAAATGGCCGATCCAAAATGGCAGAAATTGGAGCCAAAATGGTTGAAATTGGAGCCAAAACACCCAATCCAAAATGGCTGAAATTGGATCAAAGACGGCCAAAAATGGATCAAAAAGGCCAAAAAAATGAGCCAAAATGGCCGATCCAAAATGGCCGAAATTGGAGCCAAATGGGCCAATCAAATATGGACAAAAATGGAGCCAAAATGGCCAAAATTGGACAAAAATGGAGGCAAAATGCCCCAAAAATGAATCAAAAATGGACAAAAATGGAGCCAAAATGGCTGAAAATTGATCTAAAATGGCTGAAATGGGATCCAAAATGGCCGATCCAAAATGGCCAAAAATGGACAAAAATCGAGCCAAAATGGCTGAAAATTGATCTAAAATGGCTGAAATGGAATCCAAAATGGCTGAAAATTGACCCCAAATGGCTGAAAATTGATCTAAAATGGCTGAAATGGGATCCAAAATGGCCGATCCAAAATGGCTGAAAATGGATTCAAAATGGCTGAAAATGGATCAAAAATGGATCCAAAATGGCTGAAATGGGATCTAAAATGGCTGATGCAAAATG